GTGGTGAGACATCCGTGAAAGTAGTGTTGTGGACAGAAAAGTCGCAAATTTTGTAATTCGTGGTCGGCATGATGGAGTACCAGCTTGTCTGTAAGAAACTGTTGAAGCTGTGTAACGTTGCGGGATGTAAAGCGTGGGGTGTATAGAATGTTGTCGATGTGCTGTTTCCATTGTTGGTGTAGAAAAGGTAGGCTGTGTTGATGGAGGGCGGTGGGTAGACCATGGTGTCGTAGCCAGTGAGTGAGTTGTTGTTCAAAATGTTGGAAATATTGTGTCTTTGTGGGAAAGAATGTGCTGTTCATGTTGGCCTGTAGGAATAGTTCAAGATGGCTGGGTAGCTGTAGGTCGTCAAGTGTAAGCACGTAGTGGCCATCATAGAGCTGCGGTGTGTGGTTGGGGCGAAGCAGGGTGTGCATGTGGCGGCAGCTGCATGGCATGTCAGTTGCTGAGGGGTGTGCGGAGAAGAGTTCCTCCCAACGTTTGTGGTTGTAGAGCCGTGAACGTAAAGTCTTGTGTGCTGCTTCACGTAATTTGGTGGTAGGTGGGTGGAAGGGAATGACGTGATGCATGTGGTGTTGGATCAGTGTACGAAGCCATTTTTCCGTGGAGGACGAGAAGGTACTGTGGGAGAGGAAAGGAACGGTGAAGGGTTTGTTGGCTTTTGGTGGAGTGAGATTGCGAAAGCTGAGCGCTGAGTGGAGAAGGTGAAGGACACGGGATCGATCTGGTTCCTCTAAGCTGGCGGCCATTCGACGGAAGGCATAAATTTCGAGATCAGTGTATTTGCCGCTGCGGATGGCTGTTGATGTTTCAAAAGATGAACGTGTATGTTTGCTGAGCTCTCGTAAAACTGTCAGGGCGTGTAGGCGTTGACTTGTGTGAAGGTGGGGCTGCTTAATGGTGTGTTGTCGTCGTCGTAGCCGTTGGAAGAGACGTTTGTGAGTGGACATGCGTGTGAAAGTGGTGCGGTGTTTTGAGAATTGCCAACCTGAGGCTTTGAGTTTGAGGTGTCGTTGAATGTATGGCCAATTGAGTGTAGGTTGCCATTCCTGGATCCGCAAGTGTTCGTAGGTCCATGCTTGATCATAGGTGTCGTGATGGGAAAGGTAGATGGTGCTGTAGTGGTGGAGGTTGTTCTTGGAGTGCCAGTAGCGTAGGGAAAGTTCAGCTGAAATTGGATGGTTGTTGTGTAATTGTTTGAGTTTTGCATGGCGATTGTATTCTCGCTTTGGAATAGTGATACTGGTAGAGCCGATGTACGTGTGTCCATGTTGGTGGTACTGGTGTCTTGTGTGATGTTGGTTGAAAAAGAGCTTTGCATAGACCGCATTAGGATGTGTGAACAATTGGTAGTGGTAGGTGTGTGGTGTAACTTGTAGTTGGTTGAAACGGGAGCGCCAATGTATAGAGTGATGTGTTTGAGAGGGAAAGGCAAAGAGGCATGTAAGGTGAATAAGACTGACAGAAAATATAGCGTGTGACTTGTCAATGTAGGGGGTGAAATGGACAAAGTGTGATAGCGCTGTGTGCAATGTAGT